GCTTCTTCTCCTCCTCGTCCTCCTCCTCGTCCTCCTCCTACTCATGCTGCTGCTGCTCCAGTACTCCTGGGAGCAACGCTCAGTCCAGGAGATTTCTGACACCCTCCCCGGGGCGGACGAGGACCCACCCCAACGGTCCTGGAATCTCTTGTCCATCCCTTCCATCTCCTTCTGCTCGCCGCCCCTACTCCTTCTCCTCTTCCTCCTCCTCTCCTCCTCCTCCTCCTCCCTTTTCTCCTCCTCCTCCTCCTCCTCACCTTCTCCCCTCCTCCTCCTCTTCTTCTCCCCCTACCGCCTTGGAGCCCTAGGGCCCTCTCGCCTCCTGGATCCGCGAAAGCCCTGGTTTCCCCCCGTTCCTGGGACCCGGAGCCCTTCTCCCCTGGAACCTCTTCTCTGACCTCCTCCCCCCCTCTTTCGCCCCCTCCTACTCCGCCCCCTCCTCATCATCCGCCAACGATGGAGACGGAGGCGACAACGTTGACGACGACGACGACGACGACGACGACGACGCGACGACGACGACGACGACGACGACGACGTCGTCGACGACGACGACGACGACGACGACGGCGGCGGCGGCGGCGGCGGCGGCGGCGGCGGCGGCGGCGGCGACCACGGCGACGCCGACCCGCTCGCGGCGGGCCCCAGGGCAGCCTCGACGAGCCGCCCCGCGGCTGGGAGCTCGGCGGGACAGCCGGGCCGTCCGGGTCCGAGGAGGTGGGAGGAGGGTCGGCCAGACGTGAGGGTGGCCTGTCGCCGGGGGGGGGGGGGCCCTTGGTGCGGGCCCCATGGGGTCCCCCGGTCTCCGAGCGCGAAGGGGCAGCAGCGGCTTGCGCGCCCGGGTTGGGCCACCCGGCATCCCCCCTGGAGCCGCGCACCAGAGGTCGCTCTCACACAGGGTCGCTCTGACGTGTAGCCGAGGGGGATCCCGGGCGATCTGTCTACCCCACTCCCCGAGCTCCGCCCGAAGAGTCTGGCCGCTCGGAAAGGAGGGGGACACCCGGGGATACACCCCAATGGGGGCTATTCGGACACACCCCTACCGAGGATGGACGCCTCCCCCGTCGTATATCTCAGGGTTGGGCTCAAACATTCTGGTCCATTCGAAAAATCACTACGAAGCCTGGGATGGGTGTCGACATAACCCTGTCAGAGGAGGAAGATTATGTTTGCCCGCGGGGCTCCAGCCGCAGGCGAAAATTGCAGCTTGGACCGACTGAGCTGGACAGTCGTGAGGGCAGGCGGCACGGCAGCCAGCGAGACGCCTGCTTCAGAGGGTGCACCGGGCAGTCAGTCCGATCCCGACCCCGACTCTTAAGTCGGGCTTGTCCCCCTACAGGGGAATTTCCGACGAAAAATCAAGAATACCCCCAAAATAATGAAACAATCGTCCAAGAATAGTCGGGGGATTTTTTGGGGGGTATTTTTGTTACCTTCTTGGGGCATTTTGGGTGTATTTTTTAGTTTTCGTCGAAAATCCCCCTGTAGGGGGACACGCCCGACATAACCCGACTCAGCCCCCCACCCCGATCCACACGAGATGGGCGAGATGGGGCCGCCTCTGGGCGGAAGAGGGGACAAAACGTGAGGCGCTCCAACGGGGCCTCCCCTTCGAGGATCGAAGGAGTTGCCATCTTCTCCTCGGCGGGAGGCGGCGGAAGCAAAACGGGGGCGGCTCCTCCATGTGAAGGCCAGCAGAAGGCCAGCGGAAGCTGGCGGAAGCAAAAGCCAACTCCCCCACGACAGGACAGCCTTTTTGGGGTACCAGAGTTTCGGGGACAGGCCGCGTGCGGAGGAGGAGGAGGGAATGGAGGTGCGAGGGGAGGGTGCATGGGACAGGGAAGGGAGCGCCAAGAGAACTCCGGGAGGGAGGCGGCGGCGGCCGTTGCCGCCACTGGTCTTCGCCGTCGTCGGTTGTCGGAAGAGTCGTCGCCGTCGGTCGCTGTCGCCGTCGTCGGCGCCATCGTCGTCGTCGCCGTCGTCGTCGCCGCCGTCGTCGTCGCCGCCGTCGTCGTCGTCGGCGCCGTCGTCGTCGCCGTCGTCGTCGTTGTCGTCGTCGCCGTCGGTCGTCGGTCGTCGGTCGTCGCCGTGGCCGTTCCCCGGGCCTCCTCTCGCACTGCGGAGCGCCCACGGCGGGCCCGCCTTTGGACAGTGCCCCGCCTTTGGCAGGGCCCTCGCCGGGCCTCGGAGCGGCGAAAAGCGGCTCGGGCTGACCGCCAAAGTCTTTAGTTTTAAGTCGTGCGTGTCCCTCTACAGTTGGAATGCTCAACAATAGTTGCTTATAAGAAAATTGGAGACGATGTGTTTAATGTATTGTTTGACCATTGTTGAGCTTGTTTTGGCTATTTTGAATTTATCCTCAAAATCTGCCTGTAGGCGGACATGCCCGACCTAACTGTAGTTTTGGTCCACACACCCTTTTCTCTCGGCGGTGAATAGGACTGGTCCTAAAGACTCCTCCCTCCTCCTCCTCTTCCTCCTCCTCCTCCTCGCAATCGCAGTCGCAAAATCGTAGTCGTAACTAGCTGTCGTCGTCGTTGTTGCGCGGTGGGTGCTGCGGAGAAGAAAAGGGTTGCCCCGTATTGGCGGGACCCCACCAAAAAACAATTGATTGCCCCCCATTGGTTGGGCGTTCTCAGATATTCAAGGTTAAGATCCCAGTTTTCAAGGTCCAGGCCTCCGCGGGTTCACGCTGCGGAGAGATCACGATGTGACAGGTCCGGGCCGTCGTCGTTCGCTCCGTCGCCATCGTCGTCGCCGCCTTCGTCGACCGACGGAGGATCATGGTCCAACGGTGCCTGGCCCGTGGCGCGCCCGACCGTTCCAGTCTCCAAGCTCCTTCCCCAGGGCTCTGGGGGAACAAGAACCGGCCGACGTCGCAACCCTTCTTGGCGATCTAGACTCGGAGCCCCCTGCTGGGGATCCGAGCGTCTTCGTGCCCACCCTGGCCGGCACGACCCACCCAGACCATCGAGGAGCCTGGACGTTCTTCAGTCCTGCCCGCTTGCGGGCCGGCGGACCTGCGCGTCTTTTTTTTTGTTCTCCCTCTCTCTCTCTCTCTCTCTCTCTCGTCATCATTCTCCTCGTTCTCCGTTCCTCACTGCCTCTCACTGCCTTCCCCCTCTTTCCTCCCTCCCTCCCTTCCCCCTCCCGCCAGTGAGGCTGTCGCCCCAGCAACTGCACGCAGATCGGGCAGACGTTCACACGTCTTCCAAGGTCACCCTTATCGCCACACTGGACTCACCTCTTGACCCTTGCTAGAGCTGCCCCGCTCTTCGCTCAAAATCTGTTCCCTGGACCCTTTCCTGGGTCCGCCCTGCTCAGTGTTTCACCCTTGGTCCCCCGAGGTCAATCTAGGAAAGGCACCATTCATTATCCTCCTCCTCCTCCTCCTTCTCCTCCTCATCATCCTCATCCTCATCCTCATCCTCCCTCGCCTCCTCCTCTTTTTCCTCCCTCTCCTACCTCTGCACGAGCAGTGAAACTGCTGAAACAAACTCATCCTCCCTCTCCTCCTCCTCATCTTCCTCCTCCTCCTTTCCCCCTTCCTCCTCCGCCTCCTCCTCCTCCTCCTCCTACCCCCCTTCTCATTCACCATCTCTGCTCCCTCCTTGCTTCCTCCCCCCACTGTTCCTCCCCTCGCCCCCCCTCCTCCCTCGTCGTCGACGACGGCGTCAACATCGCCGTCGCCGACTACCGCGGCCACGACGTGCTCGTCTTCGCAAAAACACGCACGGCCAGATTCCCAGATTCCAGCTACCTCCCGCATCTCTCGAGGCAGATCCGCGAGGGCCCCCCGAGAGCCCGAAGCAGATCGAAAAAACGCCCCGTTTGATAAAATGCGACGCTTGGATCTCTCGACTCCACTGGACGTCCGATGTCTTCCTTTGTGCGACACGAGTTCCCTGGAAGTTCGGACCCCGTCCCCGGAGCTGGCTTTTCAGCCCGACCCGTTCTTCGATGGCCCCGGGCCCGAAAGCAACCTCGGAGGCCGGAGGTGGTAACACATGGTTGTCCAGATGTTTCGAGGCGTTGGATATCTGGGATGGTCTCACTTTGATCGGGCTGCCCGGCGGATGTCCTCGGTGCCCTCGCGGGCTCCTCGCCCTCCTCGTCGCGGGCGCTGGGTTCCGCCGCGTGGACCGTTCAGCCTTGGACGACAGCGGCTTCCCGATGTAGCGCAGGTCGCCCAGGTGTCTGCTGACCCTGGGCCAGTGACGGCGTTGATGAGCGCGCTGGATTGCCGAACACCGCAAAGCGGCAGCTCCTTGGCTTGAGCGCATGCGTGCGGAAAGCGGATACTGGGCACACATTTCCTCTAACAGGGCTCCTCAACACCATGTCGGGCCGGCCTCCGAGCCCAGGGAGCGCGTCATGTGCTGTCCTGTCCTGTTCCCACGCTGGGGTCGCCTGCGTGTCTCCTGACCTGGCCGCCTGGACCTTGGCATCGCTCGGACGTGTGCAGTCCTCCCAGCGGGGACCATCGAAGAGCATCTTGGATCACCGAGCAAAAAAGAGCACGCGCCAAACCGACAAGCGTACGGGCAATGGGCGTCCGAGCAATGGCATCGCGGCAAGGGACCGTCTGGGGATCCACGGACCCATCCCACGGTCCGCTATGAAGCAGATCGCAAGGCGGATCCAGCGCCGGGGACGAGGAGGCCCAGAAAAGGCCAGACGGACAACCAACAAAAAGCACCCCCCCCTCCTCCTCCTTTCCTCCTTTCCTCCTCCTCCTCCTCCTCCTCCTCCTCCCCCTCCTCCTCCTCCTCCCCCTCCTCCCCCTCCTCCTCCCTCCTCCAGAGATCCGGCGCTTCGGGTGTGTTCGATGCGTCAGCCCCTGGTTCTCTATCCCGTGCCGTTTTTGGAATGCTGGTAGCCGTGCCCCTGGCCCGAGGTGCCCACAGGATTTCCAGGGAGGCCCCCACGGCCTCCGCAGCACCCCTCACGAGGCCCCGAGGGCCCCAGGGGCTCCAAAATTGAGCGAGCAGCGGGTCCGTAGCCATTTTGGCTCAAGTCGTTCTGGCTCCTTTGGTCGCGAGCGCTCTCAAAACTCTGCCCGTCGGCCCGCAGCCGGCGCCACCTCCCGCGCGTCCTCGCCATGGCCCTGCGCCGCTTCAACCAGGGCGGCAAGAAGCAGAAGGAACTGTCAGAGGAGCAGAAGCAGGAGATCAAGGAGGCGTTCGATCTGTTTGACACGGACGGCTCTGGTGAGATTGACTCGAAGGAGTTGAAGGTGGCCATGCGAGCCCTCGGCTTCGAGCCGAAGAAGGAGGAGATTCAGAAGATGATCTCTGACGTAGACGACGACGGCAGCGGGACCATCGGATACGAGGAGTTCCTCAAGATGATGACGCACAAGATTTTGAATCGTGACCCCAAGGACGAAATATTGAAGGCTTTCAGGCTCTTCGATGACGACGAGACCGGCAAGATATCCTTCAAGAATCTGAAACGTGTGGCGAAGGAGTTGGGCGAGCGGATGACAGATGAAGAGTTGCAGGAAATGATCGACGAGGCCGACCGGGACGGCGACGGGGAGGTCAACGAGGAGGAGTTTCTCCGAATCATGAAGAAAACCAACCTGTTCTGAGCGGCAATCCTATCTCCTAAACGGTATGATACCGGGAGAGCCATCGCCACTGTACGATTGGCCAACGGTGCGGCTGCAGTTGATTCACCCGTGCACTGACGACACACACTTGGCTTGGAGGCCCTCCAGTGCCCCCGCAGAGTTATTCACTTCGACGTGTAGGCCACGTGGCGCGGTACCGTTTGACCGACTGCCAGGGGAAAAACATGAGCGAGCAGCTGGGGGCACCTTGGGCCAGGGGCACCTGTAGCAGCCCCCGATTGTTGACGGGTCCCGAGACTCGCCACCAGGTGGCGTTCAGGGAGACGTGGCAGACGAGCGGAGCTCGACGCGGCACAGTGGGAGTCCAGCTCAGTCGCGAGGGGAATCCGGTGAGGCCCTGACAGATCTGGAGAAGTCGAGGAGGCCCCAGCGCGAGCCGAGGGAGCCCCTCCCCTCCGACGGCACATTTATTGGGCTGGCCTCCGGCCAGTGCCGCCGACCCGGGGGGGCTCCGGAAGTGGAGTTTTCTATACCCCCCTGGTCCCGGGTACCGAAAAACGTCGGAAATGACGTCGGAAACATCCCCGTGTACCGAACAACGTCGGAAATGGCGTCGGACATAACGTGCCCCCCCCCCCCCCCCTGCAGAGCGAAGCCTGAGCGAGCTCAAGTCCACGCTCTCAGAAACGCGCACGCCTGGAGCGGCGGATTTGCGACACGGCCCTCCGGAGACCTCGGCCCCTTCCCAAGGGGGGCCAGGTGTGCAGCCTCGGTCGTTTTTTTTCCAAGGCCGCGGGGCCCGCCGGGAGCCCCCCCAGAGGCAGACAGTGGCAACTGATCTCCGTGTTGGCGTTTGTTCGATGCTTCGGACTCGCATTGGTTCTTAGTTACAGGTGTTGTTGAGCCTATGGCATGTAGCCTCTCTGCTGTTGAACAACTCGTGTGTTCGCTCGTCTCAAATCAGTACACCAGCTGAAATAGTAGTTGCACAACTAGTTTTACTTTGGATCACCCCCATGATCTATATATATATATATATGCATGAAGGGCAGATTCAATGCGGAAACAATACAACAAGACATATAAAAAACATACACATAACAACAAATGCATCAACACACTAGAATAACAACAGGTTCAATTATTCATTGTCCAAGTGGTGCTTCACATTCAAGTGATTTTGAAGCACAGACCCCCGACGTCGAGATGTTTTCCTAGCGTCGACCCCCCGTGGGACGACCCATTCCCCAGGACCCCGAATCGCTTTTTCACGGTTCTGGGGCCCGGCAAGGGCCTCCAGAGGCCGAGCGTGGAGCAACATGTGTGTGTTCTTCTCTTGTGGAGCAATGGGGAGGAGGAGGAGGAGGAGGAGGAGGAGGAGGAGGGAGGAGAGGAGGAGAGGAGGAGAGGGAGGGGAGGAGGAGGGAGGGAGGAGGAGGAGGAGGAGGAGGAGGAGGTGTTGCGTCGTTTGCCCTGCGGGGGACGCCGCCGCCGCGCAGCCAGGCGCCACTCCCGAGGGCCCGCCGCGCCGCGCCGCGGCGGCGCGCGGGCGGCCCGCGCGGGAGCGACGAGGAGGAGGAGGAGGAGGCCGGCGAGGGCGCCCGAGGACCGCGGCCCGGCGGCCCTCCTCCCCTCCTTTCACCCCTCCTCCTCCATCCTCCTCCACACTCCTCCTCCTCCTCACACTCCTCCTCCTCCTCCTCCTCCTCCTCCTCCTCCTCCTCTCACTCCTCCTCCTCCTCCTCCTCCTCCCTCCTCCTCCTCCTCTTCCTCCTCCTCCTCCTCCTCCACCTCCTCCTGCCCTTCCTCCGCCTCCTCCTCCTCCTCCTCCTCCTCCTCCGGCGGGCCCACGCGAGGCGGAGGAGAGGTCTCGGGGGCGGAAAAGAGGGGGGTGATGACCAGGGGGGGGTGGAGATCATGGCGCGGGCCATGATACCCCCCCCCCTCTACGATGGCGTGGGCCATGGTATCCATGATGTTTCCTCTGCTTTCATGGCGCCGCTTCTGATTTCAGTACGTTCCTGGCCCCCCCGCTGGGCCGCGCACATGGCGCCGGTCATGATTTGCACCCCCCCCCTCTTGGACACCCCCCCTCTTGGCCGCTCCCGAAGATCACGAGGGAAGGTTCTTCGCCATGTTCGGCCCCTTGGGGGCCCTTACAGTCAACCCGCATATCTGGGCCTCCTGGATTGACGAGCGAACAACTCACACCACACCCATACCCATAGGAGCGTCGAAAGGAGGGGAACTGGCTGTGGGTATGGGTGCGAGTTGTCGGACCCTGGGGGAAGCTCCCGTTCGAGCGGGGACCCCCATCCGACAACACGCACCCATAGCCTCCTCCGTCCCCCTTATGGGTATGGGTGCGTGCTGTTCGATCGTCATGGATGGGGTCGGATCAGATGGGGTCGGAGGCTCGCGCCGAATCGTCGATGCATAGGCGATGCGGCTCGCTGCGGAGCCCGATTTTCTCTACGCTGGGGTCGCCGATGCATTGCCGATGTCGCAGATGCATCGCCGACGCATCGGCAATGTATCGCCGATGTATCGGCGATGCGGTGCGGTCCTCCGACCCCATCTCCTCCGACCCCATCTTGGAGGCTTCTGCAGTAGTAAGGATGATCGGCATCCCAAGGGTACCCCTGCATCCTTGCCTCTTCGGTCCTCTGCTCTCCATCCTCAGCCACTTGCGTTGGCCAGCCCCGCTTGAAGAGCCTCGGAAGGGGCGGCGTCCATGGCCCTAACACATTGGATGGTTGTACGTTCGGTGCGCTATGCGTGAGAGATGTGTTACACATGAGATGCTGTCTTCTTCCCCGACGGCTAGCGTGTTTTGCTGCCTGTTCGTGGTCGCGCGAATGAGTAGACACTGATGGGCACCAGTGGGCGCTAATAGGCGCTGATCGGCGCAAATCGGGACAACGGTAGACAATAATAGACGCTAATCAGGCGGAGCCCGTCTTATGATCATTCTCGCCCGTCATACACATAATTTCTGGCCAGGAACGTTGGCATAGCATGTCGCGACGGCGGCCCTGGCGACACGCTACGCCTTGCGACGTGATAGCGTGTTCCTCCCCTCCGCGGGACGGGAGGCTCGGACAGGCTCAGGACGTTGACGATCAGGGACTGCCACGTGGACAGCGAGTCGCCCCCAAGCGGAAGGATGGGCCAGAGCCGGCGAAGGAAGACGCTAAGCCAAAATTCTTGATCGTACCAGGCCTCGGGACCGTCGAAACGACGACTCTGGACGTAAGGCAGGTCCTGGGCAATGGGTCGAGACCTCCAGCTGCCGTCGTTATGGAAAAGACATGCCGTCGGTGGTCTGGGTTGCCGCGCCGTGCCGCCGCCGCCGACGTCGTCGTCGCTCGTCGCCGCGCGTCGCGCGTCGCCCTACCTGGGAGGGCGTCAATGACGGTCAGGAGCTTTACCTCAGCGAGTCGCTCTGCGGGCCTTTGGCCCGCCACGAATTTGCGCCACGCGCTATCCACTACAGTCGGGGCCCTGAAGAAGGAACCCTTTTCGTTGGGGAGGGGCTCGGTGTTCCTTGATTGTTTCCAAGTTTGCCTCGGGTTTTCCTGAGGTTTTCCATGGGAAATCGAGGTTGAACTTATGGGAAAAAGGGGCCTCGTTCCTTATTTAGGGTTCCTTAGGTCAACGCCTCGACTGCATCCACGTCCCCATCTCCAGTCGTCAACGTCTCGAGCTCCCGAGCCCCCCGCCCTGCGGAGCGGAGCGACACGCCTCACGTCTGCAAGGCACAGCGTGCCGCCGGGGCCGCCGCCGCGGCACGCCGGCAGGAGCTCCCGACCGCTGTCACCACTGCCCGTGGGATCGATCTCCGGGGACCCCGGCAGGCACATGAGATGCGACTGCGTTCGGGCCTCTCGATTCGCATAGGTTCCGGGAGGCTCCTCCGGCCTCGGTGCTGTTCTCCAGCAGCTGCGCCTCGCCGAGAGCGCCCCATGGGGGAGGCCCGAGTCGTCCTGGACGGCGGCCGGAGGCCCGAGCGATGGCCCGAGAGCCAGACGCGCCCCCGCCTCCCACAACCGCGTCGGAAGGCTCCGGCCTTCTGCTCTGCCTCCGGGGTGCCCCCTCCGCGCCCCGCTGCCATCAAGAGCGCCCCAGGAAGAGATCGGTGGCTCCACGGAAGAGGTCCAAACCTCCAGGTCAAGCAGTGGCGAAGCGTCTTGGCTCGCCTGTAGGCCTACCAAAGGATGTTCTAAGAGAACCTTTTTGGTGGTCTGCGCGAAATGTCCTTAGAATATTTCTGGCTGGGACTGTCTTGTTTTAACCCATCGTGCGAATGTTCTAAGAACATTGCTTGGTTCTTAGAACACTTCTGGGTTCTAAGAACATCTCGTGGTAGGCCTATAGGAATGCCGGGACGGTGGGTCCCTGCTCGACCAGGGGCCCACTGCGCTGAGCACCTCCGCCCACTGGCCCCGCCGCCAGAAGCGGACGGTACCGAGCGCTCTGCGCTGCCTTGTGAGGCGCCGCGATGGTTCAAGGCTGCAGGGCCCACGCGGTGTCAGAAACGACGGCGCCCACGGCGAGGATGCCGCGGAGGTAGGGGGAGGGGGAGGAGGAGGTTGGATGGATGGATGGATAGATGGATGGAGCATCATCAGAGAGGCCCTGGCGGCCGTCTGCACACAGACGACCGCCAGGGCCCCAGATGTCGCATGGTGCCCGCGCCGCCGCGAGCGCGCCGCACGGACGCCGTGGCGACGAGGGAAGGGCCCCGAAGTAGCCCAGGCATCCGTCCGACCCTGGCCTGCCCAGCGGGCAAGCCAGGCGTCCGACCGTGGCCTACCCAGCGGGCAAGCCAGGGGGACGGAAACCACCCCCGCGGGGACAAAAGCGGGCAACCCCAGCAGCCGCCAGCGGCCGCCCACACCCCAAGGGGGGAAGGGAACGCACGGGGCGAGCCCGAGCCAGGCGGCGCCCCCCCCAAACCCGCGCCGAGGGGCGCCGCCGAAAATTTCGAGGCGGACCCAGCAGGACAGAGCGAGGGCCCTCACCTCAGCGCCTCTTCGGCCTTGTCGGTCTCGGCGCCCACCCAGACGAGGCGCCGCCACCCCCCACCTCCGCCAGGTCGAGCGCCTGCTGGCAGGCCTCGGCGGCGTCGCTCTTCACCTCGTCTAGCTTCCGCTCGGCGTCGGCGAGCGCCACTCGGAGGCTCTTCTTCTCATGCTCCGCCTCCGATTGCTTGGACTCCAGCTCCGCGACCTGCTGCGCCAGGTGCTCGCTGCCCATGGTCGCCGAAGTAAA